CACTGAACTCTCCAAAATATATTGAAGTGCCTTGATCAGACAAGCATGTCACAAAATATAGCTTCCGCAAACAATCTCTTCAAGTTTATTACGCTGCGAGACACATCTTGAGCTAGGAGAGGAACCGGAATTATGACTTATATTCAGAACTGAAATCCAAAATAGGAGGTAGTTTCGGTTTCGATCCCGAATTAAAACATAACTTCTGCACGTAAATATTACTCTAAACACTGGTTTTGTTTTTAGGATAAAGAGGTAACCTGCGTGCATAACACCCTCGCTTCCTTGTATACACGGGAATTTGTGTCACTCAGTGAAGCCGGCACACTAGACAGGCTCAGCAACTGGTACACCAGCACGCACCTCCTACCCTCACTATAACCGCCATTTTGAAAAACGAGTGGTGCCACCTATAGACAGTTGGAGTCGCGAATATATGTTTAGGTAACATGAAGCCATATAAAAAAGAAAACTGATGTTCTCAAGGAGCGCTCGATGGTGCTCTTATTCAGGCAACAGAGGTTAGTTGAGAGCTTCAAGGTCGCAACTGCTCAGTTGGTGATCGTCCATAAAAAAACTAATAATAAAGTGAAAGATGCAGGGGCAATTCAATTTTTCCCTCAGGTTCGCGATTCAGGTGGCATAAGCTTTTATTAGTTTATTTTATTAAGGCGAAAGCATTAACTGTCCCTTGGAGCGAGCCGACGTCATCAGTTTGAAGCGCGAAAACGGTACATATATTCGGCAACCGGTCAAGAACGAAGTGGAAGCTCCTCCCACCCCTTCCTACTTCAGCAGAGCGAACGGAGGAGAGGAGGTCGCCTCCTCTCCAGCGTTCGCTTCAACTGATGAAGCGTCAGTTTCAACGACTGCTGCCAGATGGCGCTGCGTGTCCGTGCCGCCTAGGGTGCCTCGATGTGCATCTGTCATAGGTTGAAGACACCCATTGCTGCATTGAAAACTGCCTGCACGTGCCGAATGGGCCTTAAGTGGTGCCAAAGCACCGGGCAGAGCTAAGTGCTCGCTCCGAACGAGATCGAAGCGTGCATTCTGGGCATAGAAATGGCCGAGATGCCGCCACCCTAAGACAGACGTGGCGAAAGTGTATGAAGCACGACCAACTCTATAAAGGGCGACCAGGTCAGCTCTCCCCTCTCTACGGGAGCGCGTGTACCGGAAAATACCACGTGACCACGGCTGGGGACAGCGAAATCCACCAGGCGCCGCCACGTATCATCTCTAAATGCGCGCGCGGTCACACGCGACGGGCGGCGGTTGTGTTGACAAAACCCACGAGTTTGACTGTAACCTTTTCTGTCGACAACCGCATAGCTTTCTTGACATTTTCTGTAAACAGAGTAAAGCGACAGCGCTTTCTATTGCCGGTCTATTAATTGTTTTTTTTTTCCTTTGAGAAGAGCTAAGTTCATGTGAAGCCAACGGAGACCTCAAGGAGTGTTTGCTTATCAGTATAACTTCGAGTCCTATAGCGCGGCCACACGTACAGTCTTATTCTCACTTAATACGACCGGCTTTAGTTTGATACCTTTTGTGAAGAATGCACACCCAGAAATACTCAAAATTTCAATAAAAATAGATTTCGGTTTAAGGTATGGCTCTTGTCCGCTCGTAAATTTTTTGCCAGGCCAGTAATGAACGTATTATATTGTATACATGAAAAAAAACGTATATTCAATCTCTTGAAATAATGCCGTAGGAAAGGCAAAAGGCGTAAAAATGTTTAAAATAGACCCGGGCAGACTCATAACAATGGTTAAAATAGGAGAGACAGGGACAAGCTGTATATTTACTATTATTCTTTTATTTTCACTAGGACACAGACAGCTAACTTCTCTATTAGTGACGCACTAACTCGAAAACAGTAACGAATAGAGTAAGCAGTATCAGATAAACAAGCGACGTCTAACATGCTCATAATTAAAATATACAGCCTGCCAGCAAGTTCCGCGTCATCGGAAATTCGCGAGCTCGCAACATTAACACGTGAACATCATTCCTTCCGATGAATGACGGCTGATCCGGTACGTAGGTGTATCAGCATCACTGCATATTTAACTAAACGCTCAAAATGAGGAAGTTTATAATACAGCGTCCAACATTCGCAAAACGGCGTGTAAAGGATGACGCTGTAAACTTATATGAATCACGACCTATTTTGTGTTATGAACAGGAAGAGAACCTATTTTCTCTTTATGCTACATAGTTTGGTGGGTAACTGATTTGCCTTCTTCTTGGCAAGAGATTTTCTTCAGCCAGTCGTTCCGGATCTCCGTCACCGGGAACTCGTGGAAAGCGACCCCCGTCGAAGTCCGCGTGCTTGACTTGCACAGCGGCACACAGCAGAAGACCCTCACAGCCCGTCGTTGAGTTCCACTTTACCATTAACATGAGCTATTTTACAGCCCAAAAATCCACGCAACCACGCGTGCCCGTGCCAAAAGACAGCCTGTACTAGCCTCCCCAGGCTTCCCGAGCGTACTGATGCAGCGGGGAAAGTGGAGATTCTAAGCAGCGCCAGCGGGAGCAGCGGGAACTAGGCGAACTAAAAAGAACTGAACAAGCAAAACAAAAAGCGGCGCGCTGGGGCAGGAGGAGGTGAGCTGGTCGCCCATTATAAAGTTGGTCGTGGTATGAAGGCTCCCTAGTGCCTCCAGCCAACGCCTCCTGTACTAAGATGCCTGTCATAAGAGCGGCGGGCATCCTGCCGTGCCCTCTCCCTCTTTCCTCTCCCCCTTCACCGAAACGACTGCGAGGGGCGCTCCCAACTGTCCCTATTGCGGCCGCGGCAGATATTTGTTGTCTGCTATTGTGATACCAGTAGGGCTGTGCAAATAGTGGTTCGAATCAGTTAGCGCAGTGTCATCCCTAGCATCAAGAGCAATAAGAGAGCCAGTTGCATCGGCTATGGATGACGTTGTGCAGTACTGGAGGAATAGCGCACCCCCAAAACAGTTACACAAGTCCCCGCACACAAAAGAAAGACACACTTAAGCAGCGCTGACTAACAGCTCTTTGGTATATTTACACTTTTGTCTTAGTCTTCTTTTGGTATTATGAACTAGGGCCATGGAGAGTAATTTGGTATTTTTCTACAATAGGATGCTAAACCGTAAACCAAAAACTAAAATTAAAATTCGTTAAATATAAATTAAATTAGCGCTCAGTTGTGAGCGGCCGACCGCGCCAAGAGGTCCGAGAGCCCAGCACGAGTTGTTGTCGTTGATGATGATGATGATGTAGGTGTTCCCTTTGAATCAGGCGGTTCCGAACCATGCTCGTACCAAGCCAAAAAAATAGTGTCGGAGGCGAGCGCCACCGCATGGCGTTTGGCTACGATGGCAGACCGGCCGCAATGGGAGAGCGAGCCATCTGACAGGCATCTTGGTACAGGAGGCATTGCGCCAGCGTGCCGATAAAACTAACCGCCGCAGCCCCATGCCACTACGGGCCCCGCGCCGGTTAAGACGGACACGTTGGCGCGCGCTCAGACGCTTCTGCTCGTCTCGCCGCCGACGAGCATGCCGTTGCCTCCATCATCCACATCGTAGGCGGTGCTTCTGCTCGTCTCGCCACCAACGAACACGGCGCCGCCTCTAGCATCCACATCGTCGCCAGTGCTTCTGCCACAACTCAAACACATTACTCGCGCCACAAAACTCCGCGGAGCACTCCGCGGCGTTCCATTGGACATTCAATCTTTCGGATTCACAACTTATAAGAAGTGCTTAGGTGTCTTCCGACATTTTTTTAGCATAACTGATGTACTGTAACATGTGAATTCACAGAAAGCAAGAGTATATTTCTGGCTTTTCACCTGTCCTTTAGACATTGTATAAAATATGTGATAAAAGTGGATCTAATTTTGAAATATGGCTTCGCAGGAATGAAGGTGTGTTCCGAGGAGCTACGGAATGCAGGTCCCTATCAGGGGCAGGTTCACGGGGAACATTTCTCTTTCTGGATTGAGGTCCAACCAAAATTCATGAATCATAGATGGATCCGTTGATTGAGAGCCTTCACATAGATACAGTCGACTCTCATTAATTCAAACTTAAGTCCCCATCGAGTTTGAATGAATGAGATTCAACTGTACTACATTGGCAGCAAGATATCCTGCCAGGACAGAATAAACAAATTATTCTGTTCTGCGGTGGATAAACACATTTTGTCAAGTGTTCAGGGTTGACATCACAAACAATATTGCTGTATTTATTGAACTTCTGCCACGCTACTGGCTCGGGCACGATTTTTAGAGCAAAGTAAAGCAATATCAAGTCGCCCAGCTAGCGGCTTCGTAGACGACAGTGCCGATCTGCTGAAAATACTACTTTCTCCGCAAGCACTCTTGTCTGTAACAGACGCCCAAGCCAGTAGCAGAGGTTTTGTTAAACATGCCCATCCTGCTCAAGCCAGAAATCTGGCCTTGCAGTATGAAATAAATAAATGTAAAATTTTAATCACATATAGCCCAGAAAATACAATAGTTAGTATTCTCTTTAATTAAAAAAGTATGCAGTTATCCTATTATTTTGTTAATGGGAAGCAAATAATAAAATTTAGAATACAAAAATTAAAAGCAAACATCACGACATCATACTATGTTCAACAGAAGTGTCCTTCACATATTAGAAAATGCAGGGGCCCACAATTTCAACCTCATCTCTTGCTTGAGAAAAGAATATCTCGAAGTACCTGCAGAAAATTCAATATAGCTTAAGAGCCCCCGGTAATGCTGAATACCATTCTCAAGGTAAAATATAAATAATGATTTCAACGACACAACATAAGTTTTTGGTCAGTGTAAGGTTGCCAGCACTGCAGACTGGGACGCCTCTTCAGTCACGAAAGGCATCAACAGCACAATGGCTTGGGTCGTTTAGCCGTTCTTTGAGAGTAATTCAATCGCAGTAATGCAACCCGACAGTCCTCCAAAGATTCTCAAGACGAGAACAGGGCAAAGCACTCAGAGGATCGCAGTCTCCTCCTCAATGACTTCTTTATTACTTAATGCCGGAGTACAAAATTGTCAATCCACACAAATGACAGAGTTAGTCTGTATATTTTTAACACAACATGCTGAATTCTAGAAGTGTTGCTTAGTCGGCATCGCCTGCAAGAAAACGTACGAGCCTTACGGCGCTGCTTCGTCGCCTGCAAGAGAACGCACGGGCGTTAACAATGTCGCCTCTCTCGAGACCCTGCTCGGGGCACAGCCCTCGCAGCACACTTCCCACAGAACAAGAACAGAACACGTGTCGTGAAAGGAGGAGGCAGAAGGGGCCGTACGGACAGCCAGGACCAGATCGGAGGGAGCTTCCAAACAGTTTCCATACAAAAACACACTGGCACAATTGTCCTCTGCCAGCGGTCCTCAGAGATTATTTATCGCCCCAGGGAACGAGCTTCCTTCAATATGTCGGCCGTGCAAAGGTGAGCTGCGCTGCTCGTTTGACAATCAGGCACTCGCGAGGAAAACCACAGGTGCCGAACGCATTCGCTCTTAGAGGCACGATTATTTAAAAAAATGTCGCAAAGAAAGCTGAAATTCAGACTATTGTAAAATACCGTAAGGGCGCCCACCCGAAACGAAGAGAAGACATGATGTGGGTTATTTTGGAGATGAGACAGCAAAGCTTTATCAAAAATTAATGATAAACGCAAGGGGCACCCGCAACAAACCGAGTGACAAAGGAAATGATACTGCGGATCGCAAACACTGCGAATTAGCGTTTCGCAAAGCGATAAACACACGGCAATTTGGTACGAACACCCGTGTCATGGGAAAGAACACAGCAGAGTGCGGATGCAGCAGATCTGTGTTTCACGGTGCGATGAACAGGCAGAAATTGGCTAAACTCACGTACCATGAGAACCCCTATTGCGCGCACAGATGGCAGGAACCAACTGCGAACCCCTTGACGCACGCACCGTTACCGCAGATCGCGCAGTTGATGTGATTCCCGTCGGACATCGACAGATGTCTAATGAAAACCTGTGAATCATGACTTTTCTAACTTTTTATGTTGCGGATATTTAGCCGTGAACACAAGATGGGCAATCTCTCGGGAAAGGGTGCCCTTACGTGATTTTACTATAGCTAATTTTAGAGGAAAAAAAATCAATACATTGAAGTGTAAGACCATTCCCCAGAGACAAAAAGACTTCTTACGTCAAAATGATTTCGAACTTCAGCGGGGGAAAATATCCCGCCAGACCGTATTTAAACATAAATCCGATCACTTTGCCCATCCCACAAACTTGAGAAAAAAAGGGAGGCCCGAAACGAGACAGATCCACAAGCCAAACCGACACAGAGCGTGAAAAAAAAAAAACGCGTCCCAGTCCCAACAACACCAGCAAAGAACATCCGCAAGGCCTCCTGTAGTCCACGAGACAGAGCAATGCACGCACACACAGACACAAAAGAAAACGACGAGGGCACACCGGACGTCGGCGCAAGAAACGAATTAGTTCCGCAGCAGGCCAAAGCAATTTTGTTTAAATGAGAGAAAGAGAGAGAGAGAGAGAGAGTGGACAGAAGACGAAGAGAGGGGAGGAGCGGGAGGAGGAGAGAAAGTCTCAGTGTTCGCGCTTGGTGGCCGCAGCAGCAGAAGCGGAGGCGGGCAGTGCCCCCGCGCCCGTGGCGGGGCGCAAGAGGGGCGGGGATTCGGAATGGGCGTTGGCCAGGGAAGGGGCTTCACCTTCGGAGGTCTTGCGGGTCTTCTCGTAGACTTTCTCGTCCCGGGGCTTGGCGCCGCCGAAGATGGCCGAGCGGCTGGCCGTCTCCGCCACCTCACACACGGGCCTCGGCACCGTGCGCGGCAGCAGCTTCAGCCGGGGGCGCATCGAGGCCTCCTCTGCACGAGAGAGGGGGAGATGGTCGAGACGCCAGTTTCCCCTGCCTGCGACGCATGTCCTACGACCGTGCTGCTCCCAAAATGGCAACCAACTGGTGTCACGCTGTCTGACGGCACCAGCTTGTCGTACAAGCTACGGCAACGGGGCCGGTGCGAAATTTCGACGCCGTCGAATCGAGGGACTTTTTTCGGGCCGTTGTAAACACACCAGTCGGCCACGTGTTGCGGGCACCATGGCGACGGGGAGAAGCTCCAGTGTTTGGCCGACCAGACGAGCCAATAGAGAACTAATGGGCAAGGCTCACGGTGAGGCATGGGCGGAGCGTTCCTCCACCTAGTAAGTCATCTGTTCACGGCAGAAATATTGCACCAAAAAGTTGGAAATTTTTTTTCTTTTCCGGAGAAGACGTTTTGGGGAAATTCAGTGCCTTTCTAAACGTGCACCAAAGTGCTTTTTGAAAAAATTCTTTTTTGGGCGCTATATTTCTTAATAGGTATCAGTTGACTATCTAGTTCTAGATTACAAAACAGTCTACTGACCTCACGGCAATAAAAACCATGCACACTCTGCCCTTGCACTTTATGTTTTTTCCTGGACCAATGAAGATTACAAACATTATCATTATACCTAGTTTGCATAGTTTGCAAAATACAATGCACCTTGTGCATTGTATTTTGATAAAGATGCAAAATGTTCATGGTGCAAAAGGCTTAATACTGAATTTTCTCTACGAAACCAGGCAACTATATTTTTCCTCGCTTTTCGCTAGAGTGAAGTGTCGGCCCCATAAAGTTATTATAATATATGCTTGAGGCTCAACTGGCGCTAGTGTCTGTGCTACTTCTGGGACGCAAATTGAAGCAGACAGCAACCAGTCTACTTTTGTGGTGCTCCTGCATATTCCTATGGGAAAATGCGCGTGCATTTTGTCTCTATGCCGGAAGATAACATAGATAACTTTGTTCTTTGGGTCGTACCGAATAGCATGTACCTTTATTAACAGTGTAGAAATGTAATTGCTTTAGTTACCGCGTTTTTCTTTACCAGTGAACAACTGGTGGGTAGGTGGATGGGTGAGTGGATGTCGGGGGGCACTACAAGCTACGTGAAACGGGAACTCTTCAAAGTTTCCAAAGTTCCCTCACTACAGTCTCGGGTTTTAAACATCATGATTCTATCACCAGCTCGCCTGCGCACTCACTGTCTTTTCATTGCTGATACATATCGCAGACACGGCAAACTCGCGTGTGTAAATAAGTATGCGGGAATTCGCTATGAAGTCCCCTGTCAGGGGTATGACAGCAGAATGCGGATGCAGTGCATTCGCACTTCACAGTGCGATATAGACGCAAGAACACAGCCGCTATAAACTCAGGTGTCACGGGAACCGATATCGCGTACAAAAATCAGACAAAAAGAAAATGCCAATACCGCAGATGTGATTTAAAAAAAAAAAAAACGGAATGTGTGATTGCTCGGGGGCGGGCGTTAATACGAGACTTTACGGTATCCGCGCTTTAACGCCGTGTGTGTGGTATTTCGAATACACGCGGTCATGCTCAATGCCACCGTGCAAAAAAAAAGAAGAAGTAAATGACAAAACAATGCATCGAGGCATCGTTTCGTCCTTGGTCAGAGTTCTGATGAATACTCTCACAATGGGACCTATGCATGTGCCATTTTCGGAGATCAGACCTACACTCCGTTGACACGGCCACATCGGTGTGGTGATTTCATAACGATAGGGACTCTTAGCAAACCGTTACAGTGTTCTGCACTACCGAAGCCTTTGCAGCATGCTTTTAAGCGCACGCTTAGCGGTCACGATATCACTCGGGCGCGCACTTAAAAGCATGCTTCAAAAAGGCTCCGGTGATGCACGGTACGCAGAACATGTTAGACCACTGCGGCCCTTGCGCCGTCCGGCCCACGCACCTGACGAAGCCTCCCGGAATTCTTCTGTGTCGGGGGGCCGCCTGTCCCTTGGGGGTCCTCCTCCTCCTCCTGGGGGGCCTCTCGAAGAAAAGCCTCCCGGTGGTCCGCCACCCCTGCAGAGGGAGCGGCACCTCAGGACCATCCTCGCACCCGGCGTAACACCCACCGTCCGGCGCAATTAGTACCTTTTGTTCTTTCCTCTTACACGAAACAAGTGCACTCCTATCACACAAAACAAGAGCACCAACAGGCATTGTGTAAATCCTACTGAGGGTCAAGCCCAAATCAGCAAGTACCGTATTTTCCGGACTATAGTCCATCCGCAGAGGCAAATTTGGGGTCAAAAATGAAAGTTTTTGCTTAGATAGTCCGCACCCGCTGCATAGTCCGCACCCAGTGCATAGTCCGCACCTGGTGCTTAGTCGACACGAAATTCTTCTCATAGCCTATAATATACATAAATTATCAATAACATACTCTTTTATTCACAAAATCTGTCCCGTCTTGTCATAATCAACGATATTGAAAAACATTATTCCTGTATAGTCCGCACGCGTAGATAGTCCGCACAGCCAGAAATTTCAACTTTTAAACATGTATAGTCCGCGGACTATAGCCCGGAAAATACGGTATGTCCTTAAACAAAAGCAAAAACAAAACAAAAAAAACGAACTAAAAGAAAGAAATATTGTTTCTTTTCAAGGTTTTTGGATAGAATACCACAGAAAACGACTTCCCCGAAAGTGTTTTCCGCAATATTTAGGTTGCAAGGCTCATTTCGAATACAGTAAAACCTCGTTATAACAAAACGGGACATAACAAACTAATGGATATAACAAAGCAATCATAATTCCCCTTGCTTGCTAATAGTGGGAAGAAATGGACATTGGCTATAACAAACTGATGGTTATAACGAAATAATTACGACCGCTCCTTCAACTTTGTTATAACGAGGTGTTACTGTACTGCAATGTACTTCTATCGGATGCTTCTATTTCAGGATTATGTGCCGAAATAGAAGCATGTTTTGCAATTCGGCCTTACTTAAACTAAATCTTACGACGTAAATACCATATAGTTGTGTGCATGGGCAGAACTCTTCTAAAACCCCACCCCCCCTATTAAAAAAAAAATAGAAAAATTATTTTTGTATTAGTTTTACCCCTTTTTTTCCAAGGCAAGTTGACCGCTTTCATAGTGTGGTGTGCACTCCGCGTCTCTGCAATCCTTGCTTCGCCATGCATGAGCCCTTACGCTTTTCGCCGCGTTTTGAAGCGCAGACCAGAAAGACAGTGGGAGTAAAGCTTCAGAAAGCCGTCCATCTGACGGATTTCGGATCATCCACGGTCACCTTCCACCCATGTGAGAACAGCTCCTATGAAGTCAGACGCCCGAGTTTCCAAACGTCGCCGTAAGGATTTGTGAAGTGGGTGAGTACACCCGAATCTTAATAACTCGAAGTTGAAGGGATTTGAAAATGTGTTTGAATTCAATGGAGTTTGACTTAAAGGAAGCTCATTGAATGGGACCACTTATGTACACTGCTGCGATAGGCAGAACATCTGCACTGATCTAACACGTGAGTGACAAGTTTTGAAACATTTATTTACTAGTAGAACAGGGCACATTATGCACGAAAGTAATCGGTGATGCACGTCTGCCACGCATTTCTTCTGCCGAAACTCAACGAACACTGCTTGGACCTTGGAGACTAGCTGCAATGCGGCCTCCACATTCTTCTGGCAAGAGAAGTAGTGTGCGGTTGTGTCCAGCGCTGACGCTACTTCGGTTGCATTAGCTGGGGGAATTCCCCCTTCACTGGCATCAGTATCTTCGCTGCTGAGGGCCGAAGGAAGGGTCCTCACACGTGGCCTGTACAGGGCACGCAGTACGAATGATCTCCGCGTTAGCTATTATGCCACAGGTCTCTACGCCAAGGTCCAACTCCCTATAACCCTCGAAAGTTACACCGTCCCGAAGTACACAGCTGATGCCGTCAGGTAGGCAGGCATCGCCACACAAAATGTGCGTCACCTTTTCCACCTCTCCTCCGGCCGCAGGTTTGCCAAAGTCGCATTTCCAAAAACTATTGGCAATGGTCTCCGACTTGATGAAGTTCCACGCTGTGGCGAGAATGCGAATTGTGCCGAGAAGATCGATGGCCTACGTCTTCTCGCTGTTTAGACACAAAAGCATCCTCTCCACGATGTGCCCTCGGTACAAGGTCTTCAGGTTCCGAATGACACCTGCACAGCCATCGTGTTCTTTGGCAGGAATGCCGATAGAATTGCAAGTAGGCCTCGGACATCGCAGTGCGCCAAGCAGCTGTTTACAAAAAAAGCGGCCTTTCGTAGCAAATTTTATATCTAGTGCATGAACCCGGTCTGAAAAAGAGTTCATGGTCACCATCCGTGACTTTTTGTTGGCAGCGTAACCGACGGGGTCTTCACACCTTGCTCTTTTCCCCGCCGGCACAGTCGTCGTCTTGAAAAGTGATTGTTTTGTTGGGGAGCAATTTGTAGTAGCGAGTCGTCTCGTCCGTGTTGGATGCGTCATTGAGCAAGTAGAAGTCAAGGTGATCCTTCAGCTCCCCAGAAAGTCACTCTTCGCATCCGAATCTGTCGACGTCTGCCTCCTCGCCGCAAACGGTCTTGAAAGTAAGCTTGTGGCGCTCCTTAAAGCATGACAGGCACCTTTCCAATGCCAAGAATTCTTCAATAGCCATGTGGCCTGCAGACTCCCTCACCCTGGCTGCAATTACGTGGAAGGTTTCTGCTACGGACCAGTCAAATGCACACGGCGAGAGCGCCTTCAAGCTGGGGATGTGCCGAAGTCCGCAGCCTTTGCACGGAAGGCTGAATTCGCTGCTTTTCATATCCAGCGAAGGTGGACTCCCCGTTCTCTATGCTTTTGTTGAAAGAGTGCTCTTTGAGACGTCTTAATTCTTCCCTATTTCCGTGTTGGAAGCGTCTCTGTCAAGTTTGTGCTGTAGTATCTCGACTTTAGTCTTGCCGTCCTTTGGTGGACGATACGTGCCCCGGCTTGCCACGACGCTTGGAAACGAGACAATGGGATCGTTGCGCACCCGCCGACAACATGCCGAAGCACAACACCGTGCAAAAACAAGAAAAAAGACCTCCAACTGCTCCATCGGGGTCACGGAGTTTATGGACCGCATTCGTAATATTGCCGCGCGCCAAGTAGGCAGCGCAGCCTTAGCCTAACGGTTATCGCGCTTGCCTCCCACGCGAAGGGCCAGGGTTCGAATCCTGGCCGCGGCTACGCATTTTGTTGACACTGTAATGAGATGTTCTGGTGAGTTCGAGAACTGTCTAGCTGATTCGAGTTTAGAATGTTCTACGCGTTGAACCTTCTACGTCGAATGCTCCAGAAGCCAACGCGTGTACAAAAGCGGCTCCGCGAGGCAAGCCGGAGTCAGTTTCGCCCCAGCGTTCGACTCTGCTGCTACGCCAACCTCGACGCCCGCGACGCTCTGTTATTATCTTTTGTACCCTTTTATTTTGGCACAAGTTCGCCACAATAAACGTTTATTTCTTCCTGTTCATTTCTTGTTTATTGGTCACCACCCGTGACATTTTGGTGGAGGTGCGGGGTAACCGCATGCCCGTACAGCGCTCCCCTCCGAGTTCCCGCAGTGCAAGTCCGAACACAAGCCCCCAAGAACCCAACGAAGACCAGACCGAGATCCGATTAAGTCGCCGGAACCTTGGCCTACCCCCGGAATCAGGACCATTGCCACCCATGACCAGGCAAACCAGGACGACGACGAAGGCCAACCAGTCGGGGACCCCGGCCGCTCCAGCTGTCGTTTATCGCACCGCGCACGGCTGCTCCATTCCACGGCGAGCAATACGAAGACGTCGAAGACTGGATTGACCAGTATGAACGCGTTGCCCGCCACAATTGCTGGACCGACGAGCAGCGCCTGCATAACGTCTATTTTTCGCTTGAGGGTACCGCCAAGCACTGGTACGAGAATCATGAGTCCTCTTTGACGTCGTGGGACATTTTCAAGACCGATCTCAAGGCTACGTTCAGCAACCACCACCACCGAGAGAGAGCAGAGGACCTACTGCGAACCAGAACCCAGGGCCCCAACGAGAGCGTCACCGGCTTCGTAGAGGACGTTCTGCACCTGAGTGCCCGCGCCGACCCTCGGGCTACCGAAGAGAAGAAACTATGAATTCTCATGCGCGGGGTGAGAGACGACATTTTCATAGACCTCGTCCGCAACCCGCCGACAACCGTCGACGCCTTCGTCACCGAGGCATCAAACATCGAGCGCGCCCTCCAAGCGCGCGCTTCCCACTACCAGCGGCATCCAAGCGTCACTGCAACCGCTCTCCTTAGCGGCGAAAACGCTCCTGGTACGGACATCCGCGAAATCATCCGGGAGGTCGTCCGGGAGGAAATCCGCCGGTTGCTGCCAGCTGCAAACCGACCAGCGACGCTCTCCATCGCCGAGGTTGTGCGGGAAGAAGTTCAGAGAGCCATCCAACCAGAGGCTCCCGTCGCCGTGGCAGCCACCGAGGAGCCCACGTTGACTTACGCCGCAGTGGCCCGACGGCCATTGCCTCCTCCTCGAGCCTATGTTGCGCTGCCTCGACGTCACTCTCCTGCGCCGCAGCACGACCCACGCCACGACGACCAGCTCCAGCACGCCAGTCAGGAGCCCCGTGCACCCCGGAAGACCGATGTGTGGCGAACGCCCGACCGACGCCCCCTGTGCTTCCACTGCGGGGAAGCAGACCACACCTACCGCCGGTGCCCATACCGTCGACTCGGGCTGCGCGGGTTCCACCCGAACGACCCGCGACCCCGTTATGGTGAACGGCCTTGGGAAATCGACGAGTACCTGCGACGACCTCAGTCCCACCAAGCCTGCGTCCCGCCGAGAGTTCCGGTCGCCTTCGCCACGACGTCCAGCTTCGCCGATGCACCGACCCCGACGTGAAAGCCTGTCCCCCCTCGCTCCACGCCGGGGAAACTAGGCGCGGCAACCCCTGGAGGTGGAGTTGCCGAAGACGACCGACGCCAAGATCCTCCACGAACGTCGGAGGGCCCCCACTCGAACGCTACCAGAGACCGAAAC